GAACTGAGGCAGGCAGAAGTCAAACAGACTTGCCCAAACCTGCTTGAAGCCACAGGGCAGCTGGTAAAGGATGGGAACCAAGTGCAGACACTAGCAGGGCTCCTGGTCCCATGTCCATCCACATGGCCATATTTTACCACTTAAGGTTACATTAAGGACAAAACATACAGATATCTCAGCCAATAACAGAAAAATCAACAGTTCAAACAGCATCAAAGGTTATGTTAGTTAAAGAGACAGGCATTAACAGCACATATGTGAACAAGAGAACATGCTGAGAAAGGCTGGAATCATCAGGGCAGTGGGGAGACACAGATCAGGAAATCTTTTTTTTTTGTACAGGGAATCAAACTCAGGACCTTGCACTTGCCAGGCAGGCGCTGTGCCACTGAATTATATCCCTGGCCCTAGACCAGGCAATCTTGAGAATGGTTTGGGAAAATGTAAACTAGAAACCTGTTCAGGTGGTAACCAACCCAAGTGCCTGTAGTTTCCAAATAGGAGAAAAATTAGAAAGAGATAGTGGAAAAGTTCAACCACTCAGTCTAATTTTATTTTATTTGGGTTTTTTTGAGACAGGGTCTTACTCTGTAGTTCAGGTTGGCCTTGAACTCACTCTGTAGCTCATACTGGCCTTGAACCTGTGGCAATCCTCGTACCTCAGCCTCTTGAGTGCTCGTATTATAGGTATGTACCACCATATCTGACCAATCAGTCTAAATTTAAACTGGGAATGATAATAATGTTCATTCACATTGGAAGGTCAGTAATATGTGTAGTTAAACTACTGGAAGTTTGTCAGTAATATTCTACTTGCATATCTGCTTTTTTTTTTTTTTTTTTTTTTTTGGTTTTCTGAGACAGGGTCTCACTATGTAGTTCAGGCTGGTGTTGAAATCACTATGTAACCTAGACTGGCCTTGAACTTGTGATGACCTTCCTGCCTTAACCTTCCTGACTGCTGGGATTATAGGTGTGTGCTACCATGCCCAGCTCAGTGTGCCATTTAAAAAGAAACAAGAAGAAAAATAATAACTGCACAGTAAAGCGTTAATATCAGAGTAGATTTATTATACCTAGTCCAAATTTTAGAATGATACAGTGACCTCAGAATTTAAAACTATCATCATGATCATTGGCTCTTTTACAATAATTGATTTGGTCTACAAGTTTGAGGCAAACATACGAACACATTTACTTTTCTTCAGAAATCATACTTACAAAGATTATAAAAAAGCCTGGCCAAAAACTTTTATGTTAATTAATTAAAAGTAAGTCTGATTCAATGCTTTAAAAAGAGAAATGAATGAATATTACAGACTGATCAGGCATGCAGTCTCCCAAACAAGTGGATGAAGAAGGCTTAGATAAAAGAGACAAGTGGTATGATTTTAGAGCTCCATGAGGATCAAACCCTCTAACAGAACTCACGATTCTCTGGGGTTGAGGCCAAAGAACTTCTCTGGGCAGCCCGTTTTATTTGGTTTTCAAACAAAGGAAAGGGATACTGAGGCAAACACGGAAAACTGAGCAGGACCTTGGGAGTCAGTACAAAGACTTTTCCAAGTAGTAAATTTTGCCAATTAGGAGAATTGTCTTATCTCCAGGTTGACAGCTATAGCAGGAGTGAAATGCCTGCAGCTGCAGTCTCTGTCTAGATAATTAGGGTCAGAGCCAGGCATCCTCAGCTGTGGCCTTGTCTTGCCCTTTGAGGCATCATGGCATCACAGGCCACTACAAGTCTCAGCTGGGACCGGTGATTCATAGAGGTTCACTTACTATGAATCCACTGCCCTCTCCCAAGCAAGGGGCATAGGCCTGGGACAGACTCACTAGTAAATATAGAAAGCCAATTGATTAATGTTAAATTTTGCTCAGATTCCTTTTTGAAATCCTGCTCAGAGCTGCTTCATAGTGGTTTTCATCAAATGAAAATACTTTTTAAAAACAAAATTTTAAAAATTCAAGAAAAGCCATCTTTACCTTGTTTGAATAAATGTATTTTTTTTAAAGAGGGAAAGGTTTATTGAGCTCACAGTTTATAGAGGTTTCAGTCCATAATCAGCTAGCTCCAAGGCAGAGTGGCACATGGCAGAGGGCAATAGTTCACTGCAGCAGAAGACAGCAAAAGCAAGCAGAGAGAGAGAGAGAGAGAGAAAGAGAGAGAGAGAGAGAGAGAGAATAAATGTATTTTGAAGAGGTTAATCTTCAGAAAATATTTAAAGGTAAATAAGATTGGCAGCTATAAGGAATACTATTTTAAAATAAACCAAGTTCTAGAAGTTAAGACACTGTCCAGACGCTGTCCAGTGAACATGGCTCAGTGTCACCACATAGACTTGCACTGCCTATGAGCAGTATTTCTCCGATGCTTCTCAGAGGAAGAGGAGTAGATGCCCTTTGTCAGTTTTATTTCCAGCAAGCACAAACGCTTAACATCTTAAGAAAATAAAAACAAGAGTCGGGTGTGGTCATGCACGCCTGTAATCCTAGCACTCGGGAGACTGAGGCAAGAGGATCGTTGCAAGTTCAAGACCAGCCTGGGCTACA